GGGGGAAGCCCCAGGCCTCGGCGGATATGCTCTAGACACCCATCTAAACCCTTCGAAAACCCTCTGGGGCCCTCTCGCGTCTTTCGTTGTACCCTTGACGGGCACCCTTCATTGTTGCACCCCTGGGGTTTGGGGTTTTCCGCACATATGGACTTGGGGTTGGGGTTAGGGTTTTGGGGTTTGGGGCTTTCGGGGATAAGGGTTTACGGAAGGGGGTTTTGACTTGATTTCTTTTTGCACTCTGCCCAGAAACTAAGTCCCCCCATCTTGGACTATAAAGGGACCTTAAACTCTACACCCGAATCCCCAGAAAGTTCTCTTGTGGCTTCCCTTCGGCACCTCCTAAGCCTGAGATGATGAGCTTTGCGACGAAATACTTGCAGCATTTTCTCTCCATCTAGTTGTTTAGTTTATCTTTCATCTCTTTTGTTTTATCTTTCTTTTTGGTCTCTCTCTCTCTCTCACTTTCTCTCTCTGTCTCTCTCTATCTCTCTCTCTGAGTGTATATGTACATATGTACGTATGTGTAGGCGTATATGTGATTTTGGTAGCCCCCAGAACCAACCTCCTTTGTTTTTGCTCGTAAACAGCTGTGTTTTCCTGCACACTCCGCAGTATCCACAATCCATATAGTCAGTAAGTTGAGGATGTAGCCCGAGCCATCGAACACATCCAAAACTTCCAAAACATCCAACAGATCCCAAAGGTTCGGCACAAAGTCCAAATTCCGAAATAACCCTAAACCCTAAACCCTAAACCCTAAACCCTAAACCTTAAAACCCTAAACCCTAGACCGTTAATGTGGGCTCTGTACCGATTCTTTTGGAGGATTTTTTTGGGCGCCGCACGGAATTTTCGTGCGACACCCGCGAGACTTGACTTAGTTGCGGACCCCATCCTAGACCCTCAAAGAATCACGCGATTCGGAATGGTCCGGCAAACCTTGGCTTTAGGGTTTAGGGTTTGGGGTTTAGGTTTAGGGTTTAGGCTTTAGGGTTTAGGGTGTAGGGTCTAGGGTTTAGGGTTTAGAACGTTACTCCCTCTGCAAGGATGGACCTTGGCCGAAATCGTTCGAAGGCAGGACGCTACAGAGTTGAAGGTTTAAGGGTTTAGGGGTTTAGGGGTTTAGGGTTTTATGGTTTGGGGATTGATTAGGGTTTAGTTTAGGGTTTAGGGTTTAGGGTTTAGGGTTTAGGGTTTAGGGTTTAGGGTTTAGGGTGGGGCTTCAGGGTTTAGGGCTGAGGATGGTTCAAGATCTGATTCATATGCATGTTATGGAGTGGAATGCCTATGGTACTGCTTCAAAAGCTTCGCCCCTTCTTTGATGATCCTCGACACGGAAGCCGACCCCCCCTACTTGGAGGTTCATCGTACTTATTAACCAAGTATAACTGCACTTATGACCCACTCATCAGCCCCTTAAGTACCCCAAATATGGTTATAAGTACAGGTATAAGTACAGTGATCATGGCCCTAAGGGTCCATGTACCTATATAGTATATACCTGGGCCCTAAAGCTACTATATGGGAACCCCTTTTAAGGCCCAGGTATACACTATATAGGTACATGGACCCTCTGGGTTGGTTAGTAGGTACCGTGAACCCCCAAGTAGCATGCAGGTGTGCCTTACGGGGATGAAAAAGGTGTTGAGGGTTTAGGGTTTAGGGTTTGGGGTTTAGGGTTTAGGGTTGAGGGTTTGTGTCTAACTTCTGAAGCCCCTGCTGAAGTCCTGGGCAAAGCACCCAAATGAACCCTAAACCCCAAAACCCCTAAACCCTAAACACTCAAACCCTAAACCCTGAAATCTCCTTCACAAGGTCGATCCTTAACCCATATGAACCCCCCTAAATCCTAAACCCTAAACCCTAAACCCTAAACCCCAGATAGTATATGCCGGGGCCCTAAAGCTACTACATAGGAAGCCTTTTTGAAGCCCAAGGAAATACCATGTAGGTACATGGACATGTCCCTAAGCCCTAAACCCTAAGCCTTTAACCCCATAAAGGCGCCTTCATCGGGGCCCTCGTCGCCCTCCTTGCCCTCGTCGCCCCGTTCGCCGCGGTCGCCGTCGAAGACGCTGCGGCTGGGAGAGACATTACGTTTAGGGTTTAGGGCGTTCTCTGCTTTAAGGCTTTAAGGTCATGTAAACCCTAAACCCTAAACTCTAATGTACGAGTGTGAGTGTCATCTTAGCTGTGGGCTTGGAGTTTGGGGTTTGGGGTTTAGGGTTTAGGGTTTAGGGTTTAGGGTTTAGGGTTTAGGGTTTAGGGTGGGGGCAAGGTTGATGGAAGATTGGGTGCAAGGCTCACGCGACTCTGTCTTGGACCCCTAAGGTTGCACCCTTGGGTTTGGGTTTAGGGTTTAGGGTTTAGGGTTTAGGGTTTAGGGTTTAGGGTTTAGGGTTTAGGGTTTAGGGTTTAGGGTTTAGGGTTTAGGGTTTAGGGTTTAGGGTTTAGGGTGACCTTTTTTCTTAAAGGGCACACCCTTGTTAAAGATCCCCTAAGAGAATAGAAGGGCCATATCAGGAGAATATTCAGGAACCTCTTGTAGGGTATCCTTCGGGATCCGCTCATGACTCCCTCGAAAGGTAGGTCGGTGTCTTTAGAGTTTCGGCCTTCGGGGTTCGGTATTCAAAACTCAGAGCCTAGGGTTTTAGGGCTTAGGATTTAGGGTTTATACAGGGTTATGAAGGGACTTTTGCTGGAGTACCCAGCGCTTGTAACAATGTTGGAGTTCTACGAGTTTAGGCGCGACATGCTATTTTCTGGCGACCCTCTGGACCCATGTACACACAAGCTAAATACTCGGACCCTGAAAATAAATGACGGCACGGTACTAGTCATATGATTGTCACAGGATAGTCAGAGGGTCTATATAATTCAACCCTAAGCCCGTAACCCTGATAAACCCTCAACCCTCAACTCCCAAACGCCTAGACTTCAAGCCTCAAACACGCAAAAACCCTGCGTTTTCGGTCAGGGAACGTCTTCTGTTAAGGTCTTGAGCTGCCAAGCGCCAAGATGCCAAATCTAAGTTGAGCGTATGTCCCGACTAAGCCTAGCGCCCGGAGTAGGCCCTTATTTCCTTTTTTGAGGGTTGGGAGTTCCCTTCTAATCCCCTTAAACCAACAAGGGTACCCTGTTTACTCCTAGGCTACTCCTAGGGTCGAGTTAAGCTTCTTGCTTGCCCAGGATTCAGTTGTATAGGGGTTTCCGCTGCATCGATGCGGTGTGCTGCTTTGGGTACTGTTTTAAATAAAGTTTCAATGCTTACAAAGACCCGAGTGAGCCGATAGATTAGTTAGGGGTTTAGGGTTTTCGGGTTTGGGGTTTAGGGTTTAGGGTTTAATAGCAACTCAACAAATAGCCCTAGGTACGCCGATGCACACCTTCCAAGTGACCAAATTGCCATGGGGAGCTTGATAAGGGGGAAGTCTCTATGAAAAGACTTGAAAGCCCTCCGCAGCCCGCTTGTTCGAAATTCAAAACAGCCCTTCCAATCGTTCACAGCAACCCTAACTAAACTAAAAAACCCTGAACCCCAAACCCAAAAGCCTAAATATCTACGTCAAACCCGAAGCGCTACACCCCGACACCCTCAAATCCACACCCTAAGCCCTCAAACACAAAAACCACGGTTTAGGTAGGGTTTAGGGTCAGTTCTACCCCCTAAACCTATTGAACCCTGAAGCCTAAATCCTAAACCTTAAGCCTTAAACCCTAAACCCTAAACCCCCAAACCCTAAACCCTAAACCCTAAAACCCGGTTTAGGGTTTAGGGTCTGTTCTGCTACGCCCCAACCCCAGCACTCACAACTCCGAACCTCAGCCCGGAAGCCCCCAAGACCGCCAGGAATAGGCCTTACATCATACAGCAAGAAGCCCGATCTTAGTCTACATACTGCCAAAAACATCCCGTCATTAAATGGTTGTGGAGTCCCCGGGCCTCGGGGCTTTGTGACATTCCTGCAGATCCGCGTGAACATCGTTGGGTAGCATGCCGCCTATCACTTGCCGGACTTGTGGCGATCAGCATCTTACCATGAACTGCCCCACCGTACAGCGCCAAGCGCCCAGTGACACTTGGCTTTCTTCTGGCTGGCTCTTAGGACTTTAACTTTTTGGGTTTTTGGTAGAAACTACAATAAGGAGCCTAAGAGATAAACTTTTAGGAGGGGTTCAGAAGTCAGCCAAGGACAGAGGAGCAGGTAGCAAGGGAAGCCAGAACAGCAGGAGCTCTGCAGCAGGTGGCAAGGGAGGGAAAGGAGGCAAGGGAGGCGGAAAGGCAGCTGGCAAGAACTTGGCTCTCAAGAGTTATTACGAGAGTTATTATGAAATAAAGTCTGCGGCTGAAGCGTCGGACAAGAAGTCCTTGTTAACGCATGACTGCGCTCGCGGAGAAGAGTCCACGCGGGCTTTTTTGCGAATCAGACCCTCAGCCTTGAACTGGAAAAGAATTGGTTGGCTTTGCATCAGAGCACGGAGGTCTGGAGAGAGAGACCCGCAACAGGAGGAGCGCGTTGTGGAGCTGAAGGAAGAATGGAAGAAGCTCAGTGCCGTGAAGGGGGCGACAGGACCGGAGTTGCAGACCGCGCTGGAGCAGCTCTCAAAGCGATTCTGTGTCCAGTGTTTCAGCCAGTATTACGGCAATGATGGTGGCTTTTATATCGGAATGGTATGTAGGATGATAGTAATCGTAGCTATAGTCGTACATCTAGTTCTGCTTTGAGTGGTAATCGTAATCCTAATGAGCATCGCAGTCGTAGGAATGGTAGTGATAGTGAGAATGCTCAGTGTTGTGTTGTTTCCTTCTTTGGTTCGGATACTTGCATTCATTTTGCCTTGGTTGTTCAAGCAACAACTTTGTCATAGTGGGATAACATTTTACATTTTTAAGGGTACTAAAACTCAATAAAAATAGAATTTTTAATTTTTTATTACTATCCCAACTATGAACCAGACAAGGGGTGGAAAATGGCTGTTCTTTCTTCCTGCGGATGACATGGATCGCGTGTGGCCTGTGCTTGGCATGGAGTTGCAGAAGGGAGAACTAGGACAAGCCCATTTCATGAAAGTTGGACCTGACTCCAGTACGGATACAAAGTTCGTGTGTTGCGTGTACATGGAGGATTGCTTTGACCCAGAGCAGGTCGAACGCGTCCGCAGCAGTTTGCAAACTGTGCTGTCGAGCCTTGTAAACGGCCTGGAGCTGCGACTGAAGCCAGATTCTTACACCTGCTGTGGAGTCTACAGGCACAACCCATGGAACCTTCCCGTGACTTTGGCCTTGAGCAAAGTGCAAGGGTCAGCAGGTCCTCGGCAGCTCCAGCAACATGACCAATATCAGCTGAAGGCCTTGGTAGAGGCAGCAGAGCTGGATTCTTGGGAAGCTGTTCAATCAATGTTTGAAGATCCGGGCGCGAGGGAGGCCATGATGGACTCGCTCCACGCCATCGCCCTGCAGCCCAATACTTCGGACTTCCCTGTATTGAAGGTTCAATGGCTTATGTCTTTCACCTGGAAAACATGTATGGATGGCGACACTAAGCCTTTACCCACAAGACTATATAATCATGCCTCTGTAAACCCTAAACCCCAAACCCTAAGCCCGAAACCCTGAAGGTCTGCGCAGTGCTGCACAAGGCCAAACGTATCAGCCCCCTGCTGGCGCGAATCGGCAAGATGATCGACGGACTTGTCGATTCCGACAAGGCATCCACTGTGAGGTGCGGTTATCGAAGCATCGTGTTCTCCTACAGTGAGTTTACTCGCCAGCACCGGGCAAACTTTGACCTGTTGCGTCAGCTCTGTAAGCACCACATGATCCGCAGCACGAGGGTGGCTGAACGGCTTGACTACCTTCTTGATACCTACGATGCCCACCTCCCTCACCATTCGACTTGGGCGTTTCTGCTGGAAAATGCGAAGAACTTTTCCGTGAAAATTGCCGATACGCATCCAGAGGTGAGCTCGCGGCTGCGTCAACGCGTGCAAAGGTGGCATGCGTGTTCTGCGGTGCACATCCGCATCCTGAGCCTCAATGTGTGGTTTGCTGAGGAGCCGGTTGACCTTGAAACTGCTAAGCCGTGAGCCACATGCCCTGGTCCTTACAACGAAACCTTGCAGCTGAGCTACATGATGCTATGCCATGTGTGACTTCCAAGCAAATGCTCTGCAACCCTCCACCAAGAGCTACGAATCCCACATCATCCCTCGAGAGGGTTCGTAGTTCACCTGCCAAAGATACACATCGTTTGGGCATCAAATCTGGGCACAGAAAAAGCTTGCTTGAGAAAATGACAGTGTTTCAAATCTGGGCCTAAAAAGAAAAACTGGAACAACAAGACGCATCAACCTAATCTGCTTCCCAAACTCGGGAAACTGCGTTCAGGAGGGGAAACAGACTTTGAACAAGCAGACCTGGTCGGTTCTCAGCATTGGGGCCATATAATGAGGACCCCAAAAGGGACCATAATTTCGAGAAATATAGAGGGGACCCTATTGTAGACAACTGTGGATCACAGCGACGCTCAGCCTGAATCAAGGTGAGACTCAATCCCCAACTGCACGGTACTGTCCGTAAACACAACACGACACTCCAGTCAGAGCCTTGACGGAGGAGAATCGCGAACAGCGTACAGCTATCCTCTTGTCGGCTTTGCAGGCGCTTGGTCCTGTCATTTGCTGCTTTCAGGACGCGATGTCTGGTGTTTCAAACCATCCCTGTCCTTCAAGGGACCAAATTTCCTTAATTAAGGGTTCTATAAAGCTCGTCAGGATTGTAAGCAGGTGGGAGATCTGCATCGGTACACCCAACTCACAGGTCTCAGGATTTCTCAAATTCAGAACCCTGCGATGTTGGTTTTTGTAACTTTTTTTTACTAGGACCCAGAGTACGCCCTTATCTACATGTTTTTGGGTTTCGGTTCCCTTCGAAGCCCCTTTAAACCAACAAGGGTACCCCTTTTATTCCTAGTTTACTCTTGGGTCTACTATTGCATCAGTACAAGTATGGTTATCTACGATGGCGATCCGTATTCTGTAAGTACTGTTGCCGCATTATTATAATACCTCGCATTTCATCATTAACTACGCTAGTATCACCTCCATCCTCGCCACCTAAACCCTAAGGCCCTAAACCCGACACCCTGGACCCTAAACCCTAAACCCCAAACCCTAAACCCTAAACCCCTCCCCCACCACATCCAGGAAGTCACCCCCAAAGTTGCTGTGGACATCCAGCGCGCTCTTCCTACTTGGAATTCGTCGGACCCGGGGGACGGGTCCTCCATCAAGAAATACGGCGTATCGCGGCGTGCAAGCAGTGGTTTCTGTAGGGCTTAGGGGGTTAGGGCTTAGGGGTTTAGGGGTTTAGGGTTTAGGGTATAGGGTTTAGGGTTGTTCCTTGCCACGTCTTCTTCGTGCTGTTGATGTCCTACCTTGACCCTGCAACCCTACAAGAAAGGCCCTCAACTGTGGTGGTGGTGCTGCTGCTGCTGCTGCTGCTGTTGCTTTTGCCCTTGCTCCTCCCTGGTGGCACTTGTAGTGTCGCTGGTGGTGATGCTGGTGGTGGCGGCTGTGGTGCTGGTTGTGCTGTGAAATTTGAATCCCAGAGATGCTCAGGGTCTGGGATGCAGGTTTGCGCTACCCGGGAAAGGCTGTGGGCTGCCAAGCTCCTGGACTGATGATGTTTCCCGCAGTTTTTTCTAGTAGCCTGCATCCTACTTTGGAGGTTCATGGTACTTCTTAACCAATTCTAACTGTACTCATAACCCACTTATAAGCCCTTAATTAAGTGCCCAAATATGGTTATAGGTACAGTTATAAGTAAGTACAGCTATAATTGGTTAATAAGTACCATGAACCTCCATGAAAGGGTCCATTCGGTGGATTAGGGTTTAGGGTGTATACTTGGGCCTTCAAGGGCTTATGTTCCTATGTAGTAGCTTTAGGGCCCAAGTACGTACTGTATAATTGGTTAATAAGTACACGAACCTCCAAGTAGGCTTTGGACCCAAACCCCGCGACTGCGCTGGCTGAGATGCATGTTACGGTGGCAGCCCACTCGTCGTTCGATGGCTTATGCCCATCCTGCCCACATGGCCCGCCTAACCCAACCTCTTGCAGGGTACCCCTCCTAAACCCTAAACCCTAAACCCTAAACCCTGGAGGTGTACTCACCCGCCTTGGCGATTCCAGATAAGAAAAAAACAGAAACCCTAAACCCTAAACCCTGTGTGTGGACCCCTTGGTGAGGTGATGATCCTAGCTCCCCCATTTCTGTTCGCGAACTTCTCCCGGCACCCTTTGCCGACGAAGATGGGGCGCGAACTGCTGGTGGCGGAGTTCCTTGGGGACCAAATGAACCTAAAAGGGTTTAGGGTTTAGGGTATATGACCCCATTTTGAGGGTTTATTTCGTCCCTATAAGGTTCATGGGCCTAACCGTGGGCACAGTCCACTTGGAGTCCATGGACAACCCGGCAACGCGAGAGAAGCAGCTCGAGGTCGATCCGCCCTAATTAAGTCTTCCAGCCCCAGGGTTTAGGGTTCAGGGTTTAGGGTTAAGGGTTTAGGGTGTAGGGTTTAGGGTTTAGGGACAATCCCCTCCCCCTTACTATTCATCCCCCGCCATACTCTTAATATTGAATTTCCCTATACACTGCAGTGTAACGATTCTGGGAGGATTTGGGTGTTGGGGGATAGGGGGGATCGAGTGTTAATACTAGGGGGGGGGGGGGGATTATGAGGGGTTCCGACAATTAGGGAGGGCATTTGGGGTGCCCTTTCTCGAGGTCCCTTTCAGGGGATTCTATTGTATTTGGGGGTATACAGGGTTACAGGCCTAGTTTGGGTAGGACCCATACAGCCCATACAGATCTCGACACGTCCCTGAATTTGTCTGTGTAGGTCTGTGGGCAAGTGATGCGACAGTGGCCCAACATGATCTTGGCGGGGGATTTTAATTTCATCGACAGCAACGCCGTGACACGCAAGTGCGTGGGTCGCACGATTCCCGATTTCCAGGACTTGTGGACGACATTGCGGGAGGAGCCTGGCAACACCTGGCGCTCGCACGGGAAGAACCGCTGTAGACAACGGCTCGACCGGGTCATGGCGAGATTGACGCAGTGGCGGCCAACGGGCATAGAGCTGATGTTTGACCAGCCCCAGCACTATTTGCTGGATGTTCTGCCCTCCATGCGCCTTCGTCCATGCTGGGCTAATACGTGCGCTGCTGTGTAGTACGCTTATAGTTCTTTCTTAGATCCTATAGTGACCACGAGCCTTACATCTGACAAACTGTGTGTCTGCCAGGTGCAGCAACTGCGTTTACCTGAACGTCGACGGGGGCAACGGCGGTGACCCCATCTATGTTAGCGACCACTTGGGATTGCTTGTTACCATTGAGCAAAAGCCAACCGAGTCTCGTGGCCCCTCAGAGCCCGTGAGCGCTGTTGCCAGGATGCCCACTAGTACCATTCTTCCTTTTTTTGGGGGGGGGTGGGGGGGGTTAGGTTCCCTTATCAAGCCTTTAAAGCAAGCAAGGGGCACCCTAAACCCTAAACCCTGGGTTACTGGGCAACCTAGGCTGGTGCCAGTTCCGAGGACCCTTGGGGTCCCGGCGGCGATCCGTGGAGCGAGGTTGTAAGGACGGCGCAGCCCCGCAGGCAGCCCAGACAGGAGGATCAGAATGTGCCTTACTCAGCCAATGTTTAGGGTTTAGGGTTCAGGGTTTGGGGTTTTGGGTTTAGGGTTTAGGGTTTAGGGTTTGGGGTTTGGGGTTTGGGGTTTAGGGTTTAGGATCCTTACTTACTCAGTAAATAGTTGAACTGCAAACTTTTTGGGCTTCCTTATTTAGTAGGAATACTAAAGCTTAACCTTTTGTTTTTCCCTTGGCTATTGGAGAAGTAAGGTCTGGCATAGGTACACGGGTTTACAGGCGGCCGAGGTGCCAGATTCCGAGGCTGACTCTGAGGAGCCTCAGCTGTCGGTTGCAGAGGATGATCCGGCCCAGTGGAGTGTTGTCAAGAAACGCAGACTGAACTGAGTGGTGAGGTGGCTCTATTGGAGAAGGTAAAGAACAAGATTTCTGATGGGCCAGGCAGTATGGACGGTGGTGACCTTCGTTCTTTAAGTGGTTCAGCTGGAAAAAAGGTACAGGAGCCACAGGAAGTGAGGGAGATGCATCCAGAGGAGATTTTGGAGCTGGAGGCCGTTATTCAGGAGGAGCGTGAGCAAGAGAACGCTCAACTGGAGCAATTGCGGCTGGAAGCAGATTCCTTCCTGAAGGGAAGCGAAGCTCCTATGGTCGATTCTGAATGGGAGATGCATTTTCAAGACGGTCGACCGTACTACTACAACATTGCTACTCAGAGGGCTCAATGGGAATGCCCAGATGGGTTCATCAACACTGCTGGAGATGGCTCCAGCAGCAAGGCTTCGAGGAGGAAGCGCCCTTATTTCAGGCTGAGTCTGTGGACGGCCAGGCACTGCTCCGCCTGAGCCGGGATTTCCTCGAGAGCCAGCTTATGCTGGCGCCGGGTGTGTGTGTGTGAAACTCCTGCGTGCCATTGCCTTCAAGCTAGTGCGGTAGTTTTTCCGGGTTGGCTACGGCTGAGGTTGTGATTTTGATGTCTACCTTGTACATTTTCCAAGAGGAGGTTGCCGTGTTTTTTCCCGACACCACAGCCAGCTCGTGCCGCAGAGTTGGGTGCAGCACAGCCAAGCCAGCGTTTAAGGTTGAAGCGAAAGGACACCAAGCTCAAGACAATATCTGTGCTCAAAAGCCAAGAATTCCAAATCGGCCAGACCCTTATCGCCAGACATCTCAAAGCTTGAGCCCTGTATGCCTCTAAACCCTCAAAGCCTATGAAACCTAAGCATCAAGCCTGCATGTAAACTGGGGGACTGTTTAGGCTCTGTGGTTGCGAGTGGTGGGAAGCTGGGCGATTCTTAATCTCAAAGGGGCTTGCACAAGAAGTCCTGTGGAGCTGCGATGTTCAGTACCTGTCCTTCATAGATCAAAAAGACCTCCAGATATTAGCGATTAGAACCCTAAGGGTCCATGTACCTATATCGTATATATGTGGGTTCCCATAGAATGATAGCTTGAAGGCCGAAGTATGTACTATATAGGTACATACGAATGTTCTACTGACATGTACCGGCCTTTGTCTTACGTCGGACGGCGCTCGCGTGCTGCCGAACCGAGCACAGGCCAGTCCTAAATTTTCCACGTGCGGGACCTAAACCCTAAACCCTAAACCCTAAACCCTAAACCCTAAACCCTAAACCCTAAACCCTCACACCTTTCCTTCAGTTGGCGGTTCACGGTCACGGCAAGGTGCACCTGTGAGCGAGGTACTTGTTCTCAGAGACTACATAAACAAACAAATCAACACATAAATGGGTTTGTGTCTTTTGGGGGGGCCCAGGTTTAAGAAGGGCGCACGGGTTGCACACCCGCGAAACATACCCCGAAACATACCCTGATCCCAACACCTGTCGCCCCCCCCCCCCCACCCCATTACAACACAAACCCAAAAAGTTATACATATATATATATATATACTATTTGGCAACCCCTTTAAGGCCCAAGTATATACTGCATAGGCACATGGACCCTTACCCTTAGGCTCAAAATAGCCCAAAAGCCTTTTGTAATACGGTCTCTGGGCCCGAAACCCCTTCAATAAGAGTCCTTGGAGCCGTAGGGTTTAGGGTTTAGGGTTTAGGGTTTAGGGTTTAGGGTGTCTGACCAAATACCCAACCGTGAGCCTCCAAACAGCTCGCAATCCATGCAGCTGACTGCATTCTTGGGCGGCTTCTTGGTCCTATAGATAGGTACACGCACAGTTAGTGTTTAGGGTTTAGGGTTTAGGGTTGTGGGATTAGAGTTGAAAATCCACAGAGGCCCCAGTTTCTTAGGGCGCTGCTTGATCCGCATCCGCGCCGTGCCTTTCCGCGAAGGCGGAATGCACGCAGCTACACTGGCAGTTCCTTGGGGACCAAACGAACCGTAGAAGGATTCATGGTCTTTAGGGTTTAGGGTTTAGGGTCCATATACCTTAATCGGAATTATACTAGTGTAGGGTATTGTGCTCCACAATTTTAAGGTTCATGTAGTCCCCAAGATTGATCTTCATGCAACAACGGCACCACAGCAGGACGCACTGCTTGCTGGCTACCTTGCAAACCAAATGAGCCTCAAAAGGGCTTAGGGTCCATATACCTTAGTAATAGTAAGAATTCTGGTAGTATGGGGTATATGACCCCATTTTTAGGGTTCATGTCGTCCCTAAGGTATGGAAAACCCGAAGCCCGTTGTCAACCATAAAGCCTGGAGGCTGGGGATTCGGGACTAGGAGACCAAAACCCAAGATCGCAAGCTCCAACATCAACGGGCTTAGGGCCGTTTAGGGTTTAGGGTTTAGGGTTTAGGGTTTAGGGTTTAGGGTTTAGGGTTTAGGGTTTAGGGTTTAGGGTTTAGGGTTTAGGGTTTAATCCGAGCATCTGTTTAATTGGTGGGGGGCCCCCCCCCCCCCCCTCACAATAAGGAATGTAGGGTTCCGCAATAGTTGGACCGTGGCCCTGTATTGATTCTCTATTAAAAACAATAGGCTGCAGATCCCTGAGGTGCTGTAGCTTTGCGTCTCCGCAAGCAAAACAAGAAGCCTGCCGACAGATTTTTGAACCCCCCAAAAAAAATCCTTTAAATGTGGGGGGTTTGTCCCATACGAAATCCACCCTAATGGAAAGTAGTCTTCCGGCGGGCTTCCGGCAAAAAAAAAATTCTTTAAATGTGGGGGTATAAATTAAACTGATGCTCGGATTAGGGTTTGGGGCTGAGAGACTTGCAAGGGTTCTACAGGGCGAAGCAAGTCAGTGTTTAGGCTTTTTTGATGTTCGTGACTTGCTATGGTTTCGGGTTTAGGGGTCAGGTTCTGCATGTTGCGAATCCCTACCCTCTTGAACCCCTACGCCCTAAGTCCTGCAAGCTCAACATCCAGGATACGCCCCAGTCAGAGGATGGGAATCGAACCTGAACCCGAAGAGCCCAACACATTGAACCTTCAATGATCGGATATGCGGGTTAAGGTGGTTTTCGGGCTTATCATCGGGCTACTTAGGGTTTAAGGCACTACTCTCACTCCAAAGCTCGCCATACAGGAAGGCTTCGAGGTGGAGTATTCTAGAGCCCTAACCCTAACCCTAAACCCTATAAACCCTATAAACCCTATAAACCCTAAAAACCCTAAACCCTAAACCCTAAACCCTAAACCCTAAACCCTAAACCCTAAACCCTAAACCCTAACCGCCCCCCCCCCCCCCCCCCCCCTTGTAGTCGATATCGCACCTCAGTTTCTTCTCTTTAGGTCAGACCTTGCGAAGTTGGGCAAACAGGCCGGAGCAGTCGATGTAGCTTCGTTTGGCTGCAATGTATTCCGAGGTTTTGCGTTCAGGGTCAGGTTTAAGGGTTGAAGGGTTGAAGGGTTGAAGGGGTGAATGGGGTGAAGGGGTTAAGGGGCTTAAGGGTTTAAGGATTTAAGGATTTAAGGGGTTTAAGGGGTTTAAAGGTTCAAGGGTTTATGTAAGGGGTTTAAGGGCCTAAGGGCTTTTTTAAGGGGTTTAAGGGTCTACGGGGTTTAAGGGTTTCAGGGGTTTATAAGAGGTTTAAGGGCTTAAGGGGTTTCAGGGTTTTAAGAATCTCTTCTGGTCCCTTCAGGCTCCAGCGCCTCCGCGGCGGATCAAGCCCCCCGAGGAGTTTCGGAGGCGATGCAGGCGCGCCCTGTTCAGGGTCCATATGTCGGGAAAAGGGTAAAGGGTTTAGGGTTTAGGGTTTAGGGAACAGGGAACAGGGAACAGGGTGAAGGGTTTAGGGCTTAGGGATTTGTACCCCCAAGATACCCCCAACATGCTAGAATACTTGTGATAGGAGCCCCCCCAAAAAAGTTAAACCCAAATTTTCATGAAGAGTCTTGTTGTGTGTAATATCTGCCTGGGCTTGAAGGGGTTCCTGTATAGGAGCTTGTGGGTATATACCTGGTGCATGGGCCACTAAGGTCAGTTCAGGTGCTTTAAGGGGCGTAACTCCCCAAAATCCTAAGGGTGTACGGGCTTACGACCCCAAGCCTTAAACCCTACGAGTTTTAAGGTCACAAGTCAGATCCTAAAGCCCGCCCCCTGAGGGCTCAAGGGTTTAGGGTTTAGGGTTCAGGGTTTAGGGTTTAGGGTTTAGGGTTTAGGGTTTAGGGTTTAGGCTTTAGGGTTTAGGGGTTGCGTCGTTGGTACAGAAGACCCGTATAGGCTTCATAAGATTCCTAGGGCACCTACGAGCCCCACGCTGTGGGTTTTGGTTTAAGGGCAACCGCTAAACCCTAAACCCTAAACCCTAAACCCTAAACCCTAAACCCTAAACCCTAAACCCTAAACCCTAAACCCTAAACCTAAACCCTAAACCCTAACCCTAAACCCTAAACCCTAAACCTAAACCCTAAAGAGCCCAAAAAGAACCTCAGGCAACCTGGGCCTGAAGCCCGAAGCCCAAAAGGCCTAAACCACTTTTGCGGGGCATTGCCGGGGGGGTGGGGGGGGGGGGGGGGGGGGGGGGGGGGGGGGGGGGGGGTGTTTGCTCCCAAACCCCAGAAGCTGCATGACTTCTGGGCCTGATTGCTCTGCAGTCTTAGGGTTTAGGGTTTCGGGTTTAGGGTTTAGGGTTTAGGGTTTCGGGTTGAGGGTTTAGGGTTTAGGGTTTAAGGAGCACTGAAGTAACCCCACAAGCCCTTAAGGCTTTGCAGCCTCAAGGCCTAAGCCACCATAGCAAATCCTGCAACCCTAAACCCTGAACCCTAAACCCTGAACCCTAAACCCTAAACCCTAAACCCCCAAACCCCTCATCCCTGCCCTAAGAAGACAACTGCAGGCTGGTCCTGTCAAAGATGGCGGCACAGAAGATGGACGAGGACCTGAGTGTTGCTGATTGGGTACAAAAGGTTTAGGGTTTAGGGTTTAGGGTTTAGGGATTGGATACAAAAGCCTCTTTCGGGAGTTTTGCTTGTTGGTTTACGTTTGGCCTAAACCCGAAACCTTAAACCCGAAACCCCCGGGTTTTTCCCTTTGTGATTTGTTGCATTTCCCCCCTTGCTGGGTTGAGGAGGGTCATTGTTTAGGAATCTGCTTCGGAGGCATTGAAGGGACCCCTTGGGTTGAGGGGTTGAGGGTTTAGGGTTTGGGGTTTAGGGTTTAGGAGTTTAGGGTTTAGGGTTTAGGGTTTAGGGTTTAGGGTTTAGGGTTTAGGGTTACGGAGGAACCTCACCTTAAGCCTATATACACACGAAGCCAGGACCACGCGCTTCTACAGAGCAGCTTGCCTGCACGACAGCCAAGGCGGACGAAAGGGTACCGGAAGCAAGAGAATTCACCCCAACCCTAAACCCTAAACCCTAAACCCTAAACCCTAACCCCTAAGCCTGGAAGCTCAACAAGCCCTGAATCTGCAACTCTGACCTCCGTCTTGGACCCGCCCCAAACCCTAAACCTACAAGCCCTAAACACCCCGCAAAACCGTAAAAGCCCTCTAAAAATTCTCCCCAAACAGCCCAAACCCTCCTATAGCCCTAGAGCTAAATGCCAAAACATATATGGGTTCTTAGCAAGGAAGTCTGCAGATAGGGCATCCACATACCTACATAGCTCAGTATATACATGGGCCCTAAAGCTACAATAGGTACTTCGTAAATAGGTTCAGGGTTTAGGGTTCAGGGTTTAGGGTTTAGGTTTAGGGCTTTGCAACCCCAAACCCTGCGTATCCGCTTGTCTGAGGTAGCTTACTCTGCCGCTGGAAGCTAGCCATCCTACGCTCTCGATGTTGCCTCCGTGGCAGTCAGGGAGATTGGGGAGGGGTGGGGTGCCGACTCTGAATCATTCTGAAGTACCATTATCTATAGGGAAGAGTAAGGGTTTAATTGGAGTTCAGGGTTCAGCGTTTAGGTTGACAAAGTCCTGTGAATGATTTGGCACCCAGCACGGAAACCCACCATCAAGTTTAAAGGGGTAATAGACAGTTTTTGAGGAACCCTAAGCCCGAGACCCTAAACCCCGGGCCGAAATGATCTAGCACAGTTTCAGGTGGTGGTTTCTCAGTATGTCCTTCGTAAAGAATTCTAGATAACCCGCAGCGTGCCTTCGCCGCAGCCTTGCAGAAGATGCCGGTCTCGCTTTCACCTGTCTTTAACTGGGGTTTGGAGCACTATACTTTAATATGTTTGTTTCCGGGTTCCTACTCTAGCTGCTTATGCCCAACCCTAATTATAAACCCTAAACCCTAAACCCTAAACCCTAACGTATATACTTTTTTCCAGGGTCTACTCCAAACTAGGGTTAACAGGGACTCCAGATCTGGAAGCGCTTGAAATCAGGCTTGGGCGCCAACGGGGGACTCCGCATGCACGGCCAGCAGCTGTGCTGAGATGCATCGCCTTAGGGCTCTTTTTGGGGTGCAACTGTAGGGTTTAGGGTTTAGGGTGCAGGGCTATAGGACCTCTGGACTCCTGGTGTTGCTTTAGAGCTATAAGTGCTCGATCTGAGAAGCGACTCCCCAAACAACACTGGGCGGTATGTTAGGATGTATAGGGGCTGGCGAAGCTGGAAGAGCATGGAAGCTGCCCATGCTGCTTCCTGCCCGCCACGCACACCCAAAAAAACTTCGGTTTAGGGTTTAGGGTTTAGGGTTTAGGGAATAGAGTTTTCTTCTTCGCCCATTAAACCCAACTCAATCCCCCAGCCCCCAGACCTGAAACCCTGATTCCCCAAACCCTGAACCGAAACCTGGTAAATTTCGCGGAGCACGCCGGTTCAACACCAACCGGCGCTAACTCCTGACACAGGGGTTGGGGGTGCATGCTTGTTTTATTTTGAACGTGAACAGCCGTCTGAAGGCTCTGCGCACCCACAGCGGCGAGCAAGCATGTTTTACGGCTTGTTAAGGGTCAGCGTCCCACCGATGAGCTTCCATGAGACCGAGATTCCCGAGAGATTCCCGAAGAACCAGGCCAGAAGCAAACCCTACCCCCCTATAGCCTTGCCATGGCTGACATTAACTTCAAGTTAAGCTCTTGCAGCGGGCTCACGCGCATTTGCTCCAGTTGCACCCGCGGCTTATGGTTGGAACCGAAAGCACCATAAATGTCAGTGAAAACGCTTAAGTTCGACACAGTGTGTTGGGAGTATTGTCGCTAATTTTGCAGGGCCGTTTTTCTACGAGCTTTTCGGGCGGCCACCACCATGCGAAATGCATTATTTGTCATTTCTTTCTGGTTGGCGTTGGTTCGAGGCGAAGAAAAGCTAAGGTCAGTGAAAACTTTAAGTTCAACATGGGGTGTTCAAACTATTGTAGCTGATTTTGCCAGACAGTTTTTTGCGACTAACTTTTCGGGTGCCACACCCATGCGAAATTCACCGTCTGTCCTTTTTTCTGGTATGTGATGGCTCGAGCCGAACAAAAGTCAAGGCCGGTGAAAGCCCTTAAGCTCAACACCGGGCGTTGAATTTCTTGTTGCTAACTTTCCGGGGTGGTTTCTCTACTGGTTTTTTCGGCTGTCGGGTGACCGTTTTCGGCGCTGAAAATGGGCAATAACTGTTTGCACGGAGCAACAATTTAGAAACTGTTTTTGCTTCGTTTTTGGATGTTTTATTTGATTTTTTGGGTTTAGGGTCTAGGGTTTAGGGTTTTGAGTTTAGGGTTTAGAAGCCCAACAAAAGCAAAACGGAAAAGGCCTTTTAAAAAATAGACCTCCCCATTGAAATCCAAATGTGAGCTGTGTTTGGCGGTTTGCAGCTGAAAGGGTTGGGACGGTTGGCTGTTCGGGCTTAATCTGGGAGTTAAAGGTGGCTTTAGTAATGATGGCCATGGCTGTGCGGCGTGGGTGGCTTAGATCCCGAAATCGAGCGACTCTGACCCCCCAAAAAAGTTAGAGACCAAAAAAAGCCCCAAAAAAAAGTTAGAGACCCAAAAAAAAGTTAAGTTCAACACCGTGTTGAACCTAACTTTTCGCGTTGGAAATCCTACGTGTTTTTGCTGAATCCTACGTGGTTTTTGGGCTGTCGTGTGACGTGTTTCAGGGAAAAATGTGGGAAATAAGTTGGGTTCGGCCGGTCCACACTAACAGTCAAATAACGCCGTGGCCTTATAACACACAGGCCAAAAATAGCACCAGGAATCCCAGTCAATTTTAGCATTTACCGGGTGCTTATTTTTGTGGGTCTGCTGGTGGTGACTGTTAGTCACATAGCAGCAGAAATAGCACCAGAAATAAATAGCACAAACAATAGCACAAAAAATAGCACCTGAAATAGCGCCAGGAATAGCACAAAAAATAGCACCAGAAATAGCACAAACAATAGCACCAGAAATAGCACCAGGAATCCCAGTCAATTTTATCAGCTTAGCATTTACCGGGTGCTGTTTTTTGTGGGTCTGCTGATGGTGATTGTTAGTCACATAGCACCAGCAACAGCACCAGCACCAGAAATAGCACCAGAAATAGCACAAACAATAGCACAAAAAATAGCACCAGAAATAGCACAAACAATAGCACAAAAAATAGCACCAGAAATAGCACCAGGAATAGCACAAAAAAATGCACCAGAAATAGCACCAGAAATAGCACCAGGAATAGCACCAGGAATAGCAGGAATCTGAGTCATTTTTTTGGCATTTACCGGGTGCTTTTATTTGTGGGTCTGCTGGTGGTGACTGTTAGTGTGGACCGGCCGAACCCAAGAAATAAGGGTAAAAAAGGTCAAACGGCGTCGGTTTGTAGCCTTGCCGCCTGAAAAAACACGTAGGAAAACAGCAAAAACACGTAGGATTTCCAACGCGAAAAGTTAGGTTCAACACGGTGTTGAACTTAACTTTTTTTTGGGTTTCTAACTTTTTTTTGGGGCTTTTTTTGGTCTCTAACTTTTTTGGGGGGTCAGAGTCGCTCGATTTCGGGATCTAAGCCACCCACGCCGCACAGCCATGGCCATCATTACTAAAGCCACCTTTAACTCCCAGATTAAGCCCGAACAGCCAACCGTCCCAACCCTTTCAGCTGCAAACCGCCAAACACAGCTCACATTTGGATTTCAATGGGGAGGTCTATTTTTTAAAAGGCCTTTTCCGTTTTGCTTTTGTTGGGCTTCTAAACCCTAAACTCAAAACCCTAAACCCTAGACCCTAAACCCAAAAAATCAAATAAAACATCCAAAAACGAAGCAAAAACAGTTTCTAAATTGTTGCTCCGTGCAAACAGTTATTGCCCATTTTCAGCGCCGAAAACGGTCACCCGACAGCCGAAAAAACCAGTAGAGAAACCACCCCGGAAAGTTAGCAACAAGAAATTCAACGCCCGGTGTTGAGCTTAAGGGCTTTCACCGGCCTTGACTTTTGTTCGGCTCGAGCCATCACATACCAGAAAAAAGGACAGACGGTGAATTTCGCATGGGTGTGGCACCCGAAAAGTTAGTCGCAAAAAACTGTCTGGCAAAATCAGCTACAATAGTTTGAACACCCCATGTTGAACTTAAAGTTTTCACTGACCTTAGCTTTTCTTCGCCTCGAACCAACGCCAACCAGAAAGAAATGACAAATCATGCATTTCGCATGGTGGTGGCCGCCCGAAAAGTTCGTAGAAAAACGGCCCTGCAAAATTAGCGACAATACTCCCAACACACTGTGTCGAACTTAAGCGTTTTCACTGACATTTATGGTGCTTTCGGTTCCAACCATAAGCCGCGGGTGCAACTGGAGCAAATGCGCGTGAGCCCGCTGCAAGCGCTTAACTTGGAAGCTAAGGTCAGCCATGGCAAGGCTATAGGGGGGTAGGGCTTGCTTCTGGCCAGGTTCTTCGGGAATCTGAGGCTCATGGAGGTTCACGGGCGGGACGCCGGCCCTTAGCAAACAGTAAAACATGTTTGTTCGCTGCTGTGGGTTTGCAGAGCCTTCAAATGTTTGTTCAGTCCAAAAAAAGCAAGCATGCACTCCCAACCCTTATATGAGGAGTTAGCGCCGATTGGTGTCGAACTCACCTTCCCGAAACCTGGTTCGCGAAATTTACCACCGAAACCCCGAAACCCTCAACCTTTAGCCCTAAACCCTAAACCCTCAACCTCTAAACCCCTAAACCCTAAACCCTAAACCCTAAACCCTCCAGAATGGTACTACAGACGGACCCTGTGGGTTGGGGCTCAATGAGGTTCTTGATCAGGGTTTTGGGGTTTTAGCGGTTTGGGTTTAGGGTTTCGGGTTTAGGTGGCAGAAACCATACTAAATAGGGCTTTTATTACAGATGGACCCTCATTGGGTCCCAAGAAACGGGAGTACTGGGGAGTATCCGGAAACCCTGGGTTACATACCCCCTTGCCCCCCCCCCCCCCCTCTTAAAAACCCTATAATCAACCCTAAGCCCTAAACCCTAACCCCACCCCGTAAAAACCCTGTACTCATTGAGCCCCAAGAAGCCAAGGCACGTCGCCAATTGCCACAACGTCGCCAGCGCTTTCCGACGCTGGAGGCTTCCCGTTATGGACCATGGCTTTAGGGTTTAGGGTTTAGGGTTCTCGGGTCCCACAGTATTTCTAAACAGTCACCTTTGGGGGTGCTCCTCTTGTCAGGGGTACATTTGGCGGCCCGGACCTCTAAACCCTACAGGGCAGTCCCTGTAAAGTTTAGGGCTTAGGACACCTACCCCAAGTCCCCAATCGTTTACAAGCCTTTCGACCTACATCTCCCTGAGACGACTATCCCTAAAACCTAAACCCTAAACCCTAAACCCTAAACCCTAAACCCTAAACCCTAAACCCTAAACCCCTACAGCCCCTTGTGGCTTGGGTTTTTGAGAACCCGCGGCTCCTGCTTCGTAGGCTTTTGCTCCGGCGCAGCTCGCGGTGGCGAGGTGGATGGGTGTGCAGGTGTTTTTGGGTTTAGGGTTTAGGGTTTAGGGTTTAGGGTTTAGGGTTCAGGGTTCAGGGTTTAGGGTTTAGGGTTTATGCTCATGCTTTTTGAGGGTCTTCAGTTTTGTAGGTTTGTAGGGGGTTTAGGGCACTTTGTTAGGTTTTTGCTTTGCTCGTGTTTTTCGGGGGTCTTAAGTGTTTTAGGGTGTTTAGGGCTTTTTGTTAAGTTTTTGTTAGGGTCTAGGGCAGTGACGTTTTTTTTGGGCCTGCCGGGTTTAGGCATGCTTTTTGTGGAGGCTTTGAAGTCAACAAGCCCTGCCCAGATTCCTGTCTACGCAGTCACTTTCGGGTTGTCATTCTAGGGTCCTCAAGACAGGGGGTTCAAGGGGTATGTAACCCCAGGTTCCCCAATACTCCCACACTACTCCCTAAAACTCCCTAAGCATCACTAAGGTTGCCTATTGGTGCCGACCCCCCCAGGAAACCCTCCTCCCGAAACCTTGAACCCTAAAACCCTAAACCAAGGGGGGTCCTACACCCCATGAACCCCCCCCCGCCCCCTAAGGATGTAAAGGGTCTGAGGGTAGTTACATGGTCCCTTAATCTGGTCCCTCACGGTCCCTCGAAGGGTATAAAGGAATCTCCCGATCAGGGCTAAGCCCTATCGACTCAAGCTCAAAACCCTACGCCCGACGGACTCTTAAACCCCAAAAGGCTCGCCCCCCCCCCCCCCCCCCCCGCAACCTATCCCAACCTTAAAACTTAACCCTATATCCTAACCCCCCCCCCCCCCTCCCCCCCCCCCCAACCTTAAACCTTAAACTCTCAACCCTAAATCCTGAACCCCCCCCCCATATGCCTGGGAAAGGCACTGCCGGCCTGGTAGTGGTGGAGGGCCTTCGGCCCACGTGACTTGAGCTCCATGAGATTGCCTTGTATAGTTCGAAGTTGGGGTTTCGGGTTTAGGGTTTAGGGTTTAGGGTTTAGGGTTCCTGAAAGGGATTGCTTTGGGCCACCCAATGAGAACCACGAAGCAGTGGGTCTTGAAACCAAAGACTCAAAGGCCCTTGACGCTTAAACGCTTAGTGTTTCGGCCTTGTCACGCAACTCTCTCTTTGTTGGGTCAAGACGTGTTTTGTGTTTGTTTTTTTGGGCTTACGGCAGTTGTTTTGTTTACGAGTTTAGGTTTGTGCGGGTTCTGCTATAATGTTTGGGGGTTTAGTGCTTTCCTTTTTTTGGGGGAGGAGGGCGGGGGAGGGGGCTTGGGGGTGGGGCTTTTTAGGATTGATTCTTGGGGTTCAGTGCTTCGGAAGTCAGGGCCATAGGGAGGGTTCGCTTTGGCAGGTTTCGTCGTGGGGGAGTCACTGGTTCATCACCGGCAAACTTCGGTTTAGGGTTTCGGGTTTAGGGTTTAGGGTTTAGGGTGCTCCCTCACAGAAGCTATGGCGCGCATGACTTCGGATTAGGCCTTTCTGATAGAGGCCCCGGAGAGGCGGAGGGTTTTAGGGTGGCCGGGTTTCTTGCAGGGTTCTTAAAGGGAGGGGGGTTCAAGTAGGGTATGTAACCCAAGGTCCCCCAATACTCCCCCACGACTCCCTAAGGCTCCCCAAGCTTCCCTAAAGTTCCCTGGTGCCTAGGTACCTACCTCCCATGAACCCCCCTCCCTCAAGGACCCTATAAGTCTAGTTCAGGGTTTAGAGTTTAGGAGTTTGGGTTTAGGGTTTCGTGTTTAGGGTTTAGGGTTGAGGGTTCGGGGGCGCAGAAACAATACGTGGCTAAACCCTAAACCCTAAACCCGAAACCCTAAACCCTAAACCCTAAACCGTGGTGCAGAAACAATACGTGGCCAGCGTCAAGCAAACGGGCGTTGTGGAAGGGGTCAGGGGCGAGATGACCTCAGCGGTGTTTACGGTGCCTTCTCCTGGGGCCGTTTGACAGAGGGTTTAGGGTTTAGGGTTTTGGGTTTTGGGTTTTGGGTTTTGGGTTTAGGGCCTAGGGTTTATAAGCCCTTGACGAGGAATCGGGCAACGAGCACTTGCAGCTCGTAGTAGGCACAGGCATCGAGAGGAAAATCCTTTCGAACAAGACTCCCCAAAGCGTTGTGAAATTTCTCACGCGCTTGCACAACAGGTTCCACCAAGGCGCCTCTACGTCCTGTCTTGATGAGCTCATTCAGCTGGTGCCCTGCGCAAGTGGAAGGATCCTAGCACGCTAGCTTGACGCTGCACCGAGGACCACATTCCTTTGGGCAGACTCTTCATCACCCCAAACCTTGAACCCTAAACCCCAAACCCTAAACCCTGAATCCTAAACCCTGCCAGTCAAGTTGAAGAACATACGCGGGAGGAGGCCAAGGACATCTTTGCGTGAAACAGGGGTACTCAGAGCCTGGAAAGGCCCCATCCTTGGGACCTTAGACATCAGCGACCCTCAGCCCTAAAGCCTAAACCCTAAACCCCAAACCCTAAACCCTAAACCCACATTAAGGGCCCATACTTGGAACCTTAGACACTGCAGATTCAGGCGGCGGCGGTGTGCCGCCATGCCGGCGCTGGCTTCGGGGCCCTGGCTGCTTCTGCTCCGCAGGCTCCGGCTTGAGGGTTTAGGGGTGCAGGGTTTGGGGTTTGGGGTTTAGGGTTTAGGGTTTAGGGTTTAGGGTTTAGGGTGAGTGGTGGCTTCAGCACATGTATAAGGCTGCGGTTTGGTATCTAGGTTTAGGGTTCGGGTTGGGGGTTTAGGTTTCAGGGTTTGGGCTCTCAGTCGGCTTGTTTCATCTTCCTGGCCTCTTCATGTCAACTTTTCTCAGTGACGAGAGAATCAGCAACAAGTTCTCTTGATGCCCTAAACCCTAAACCCTAAACCCTAAACCCTAAACCCTAAACCCCAAACCCCAAACCCTAAACCCTAAACACTGGATGCACAAGCATGTGTGCCAGCTGTATTGTCCTACAGGGAGTCACGAAATCCTGTTCAGCTTTCCGGCAGGGCTTCATGCAGGACCTTCAGTGAACGAAGCTCCAAATTGCGGGTTTCCGAACATAGGGGTAGATTCTATCCTGTTTGGGGTATAAACGGCCCTATTTTGGAACACCCAAATCCTTTATTATGCAGTTCTGCCTTCTCCTTTTAATCCACAGCCCTACTGTATAATCAGCACGTGAAACTAAGCCCCGACGCCGCCAACCCCTGGCCTGCACCCTAAGCCCCAAAGCACTCACCCTCCCCTAGGCCCTAAGCCGACCTAAACCCTAAATCCTAAACCCCAAACCCTAAACCCTAAACCCTAAATCCTCCTGCAAAAACCTCTGACCCTCGCACGGCCTCCCTGGAAAGGGCCTGTTTTGCCGCCTGGGCTCAGGGTGGCCAACCGAGGTCTGGGGCGTTTAGGGTTTAGGGCTTAGGGTTTTAGGGTTCAGGGTTTAGGGCTTACGGCTTTTAGGGTTTAGGGTTTAGGGTTTGGGGTTTAGGGTTTGGGGTTTGGGGTTTAGGGTTTAGGGTTTAGGGTTTAGCGTACGTTGTGGCAGTTGTTTTTGGTGTTCCGTTTTCTGCAGGTTTCGGTGTTTTTCCTGTATATTTGGTTTCAGATTGGTTTCGGTCTAGCATGATCTTGTGTTGTGGTTCCTCGGCCGACGTAGCCTTCGTTTTGGCATTTGTTTTTTTAGATTTTTTCGCGCGTTCTGTGTCAAGGGTTTTGTGTAGTTCTGTTCTTGTTGCTGCCGCCATGGATGTTCGTATTCTTGGGCTTGGTTATTCAGTTATTCTCATACTAGCTTGCATGAAGACTATCACGCTTACTCTCGTCACTCCATTCTTTTGTTTTGGGGGCGGGGTGGGAAAAGGGCGGGGGATAGTCATTTTTCTGAAGTTCAGACTCTGGGGTGCGGCTTTGGGTCCAATTTGGGTTTAGAGGTTTAGGGTTTCAGGGTTAGGGTTCAACGGTTAGGGCGTTTAGGGTTTAGGGAAAAGAGATCGGGTTCAAGACCTAAAGCAAACGTTCTAAGTTTCGGGTGTGGGGGAACGATGCCCTGCCATCCTAACCCTAACTTTCCTGAACCCTAAAAACCCTAAACCCTAAACCCTAAACCCTAAACCCTAAACCCTAAACCATGCCTTCATCAGGGCTTTGGGTTTGCAACCTGGCGCGAAGCAACAAACGTGCCGATTCCTGCGTCAGTCAACCTGAAGCACCTAGGTTTAGGGTTTAGGGTTTTGGGTTTAGGGTAGGGTTTAGGGTCTAGAATCAGAGCACCTTCGATCGCTTTGTGCCCCTTGGTGCAGGATTTGGAGGCGATGCTCTAAGCCCTGAACCCTCAACCCTACACAAGCTCCACCGAACTAGACGAACAGTGGTCCGCGCGAGGCGCCGGCGCCTCAGCCCGGCAGAGCGCGCCGTGCGCCTCAGGGGGGCGCTGCTTTGGGAGTTGAGGCCTGGAGTTTGGGGTTTAGGGCTATAGGGTTTAGGGTTTAGGGCTATAGGGCTATAGGGTTTAGGGATTAGGGCTTAAGGTCTTTGGAGTGGAGGCCTGGTGTTTTGGGTTTGGGGTTCAGGGCTTAGGGTTGTTGAGTTGGGGCCTGGTTTAGGGTTTGGGGTTCAATTAGGGCTTAGGGTTTTGGAGTTGGGTCCTGGTTTAGGGTTTGGGGTTTAGAGCTACAGGATTTTTTAGTTGAGGCCTGGTTTAGGGTTTCAGGTATAGGGTTTCGGGTTCAGGGTTGAGGATGTTATATACGGTTTGGGGGTTTAGTGTTTGCAGTGCATATCTCTTACACTGTTGCACGCACACCTGACAAACGAAGATGCCCTGAACCCTAATTTTGAACCCGAAGCCTCACACCCCACACACACACACACACACACGCACACGCACACGCACACGCACACGCACACGCACACGCACACGCACCCGCACCCGCACGCGCACGCGCACGCGCACGCGCACGCGCACGCGCACGCGCACGCGCACGCACACACACCCACACGTGCACGCGCACACACCCACACACCCACACACCCACACACCCACACACCCACACACCCACACACCCACACACCCACACACCCACACACCCACACACACACACACACACACACACACACACACACACACACAAACACACACGACTCTTGACAAGTTGCTAACTTTAGTGGGCTAGCGGAGATGTGACACTCTTGTCGTGCATGCTGGCAACTCCGTGTGGGGCCTAAAGAGAAGCCTGGAAGGGTTTATGGTACATGTTAATGTACGAAAATACATACACGTATACATATACTTATGTATATATATATATATAGGTATGTGTATGTCCGTGCTTCTGGGGGGGCCCCCGCCTCCCGGGAATAATGGAAAGGGGTCTGTTATTTCTTGGCAGATTTTTTTGGGGGCAGCAGGTCATGAGTAGTAGTTATAGTAGTAGTAGTAGTAGTAGTAGTAGTAGTAGTAGTAGTAGTAGTAGTAGTAGTAGTAGTAGTAGTAGTAGTAGTAGTAGTAGTAGTAGTAGTAGTAGTAGTAGTAGTAGTTAGTAGGTGTAGGTTTGCCCCCCCCTTGGTGCGACGGACAAAACACATTTTTTAAGGTCTTTTTTTTATGCGCGTTTCGCGTGGGTTATTGACAGTGACTTTTGAAAATGTGCACAACCCTACTGTAAAGTGTCGTTTTCAAAGGTTTTTTGAAAAACAAATTGCGTTTTCGACAACAAAACGCTGTAAATACCAGCATTCGCTCTCGATATTTTTCGGAAATTTAGGGTTTTTTTTGCGTCTCCAAAAAACACTGATTTTCAGCCTCGATTTTGCCGATCGCGTTTTTGTCCTTTTTTGTCTTCTGCGGCCGGAAATGCTGTAAATACCAGCATATCTGCTGTTACAGTCGCCGCAAAAGCTGTAAATTCCAGCATTTTTGTGCTGGATGAAGAGGACATGCGCATCATGCAGCGCAAATTTACTGCGCGACGCATCCTATCTTTTGCGGGGTGGGGTGGAGGGGGGGGGGGGGGGGTAAATACGTTTCAGATAGGCGAACTTTGTGTGTTACCCGTGCATGCGAACAGGGTATATAGAGTGTAGGGTCTAGGGTATAGAGTTGAGGGGAAGGGTTCCAGGTGCCTGCTGGGCTTAGAGTTTAGGTCTGAGACCTTCTTCTCAAACGAAGTGCTGCTGCAACGAACAGCATGACATATTCTTCGGGTTGACGCGTTCATCTTGACGAGTCCAACGGCATCCGCACTGGGGGGGGAGGGGAAGTTGTAGTATTAGTAGTAGTAGTAGTAGTAGTAGTAGTAGTAGTAGTAGTAGTAGTAGTAGTAGCAGTAGTAGTAGTAGTAGTAGTCGTCTGGGATCCAATTCTTCCTCAAATCTCGGGTGTTTTATCATTCCCTTTCACAGTAAATTCTTTGCTGGGATCCCAAATGCTCCTCAACTCCCAGGTGTTTCTATTATTGCCTGGAGCCTTCGGCATTTGTGTTTTTTGGGTCGCCAATTGTGCTGCTTTAAATCCCGGGGGTTTGTGCATTTTGGGAATTTGGGCTCCCGTAATGGAAAGTAGTCTTCCCAGAAGAGATTGAATTTGA